GTCCCTTTCACGGCTTGTGTAATCTAAAATAATTCGTATTATATCAGTATAACCAAGTGTAAAAGCCCATCAGATTGGGATTTGCTTTGGTTTACCCTCCGATCTCCCATTTTTTTTGTGAGAAACCATGGATCTTCGAGGAAGCAATGTAAAACAACCACCTCCTTCCTGCCACAGACCAAGACGACGAAACCGACGGCGAGAAAGTGTACAACTCGACGACGGAGCCCCTCAAGAAAGGCAACTGGTGCTGCGACTGGATGCTGAGGTCCGTCTGGAAAATAGGAAAGAGGAAGAACAAGGGGAGGCCGAAGGAGAAGAGGCAGAGGGAGGAGGAAGGAGGAGGAGGCAGCAGCAGCTTCTTCGCCACGACGTACTGCCGCAGACAGTGGTACATCCTCCTCGTGCTGTGCCTGGGTACTCTGACTTCCTCCTTCGCCGTGTGTCTGTTCCCGCCCTTCTTTCCGAGGATTGTAAGTACGGAGCGATCCTTAAAACGGTCTTGCAGGGAAGGGGTGTGTCGGGCAAAGGGCGAGGTGGTGGTGGGCCTCTTAGACTTCGGGCGGAAGCAGTTACGAGAATTTTCAGCATCTTTCAATTTTGTTTCATTTATAGCGTTATTTTTCATTCCCCTTTCTTTCTTCCTCATTTTCTTCTTACTACTACTACTCCTTCTTTTCTTCTCCTTCTTTTCTTCTCTTCCCTTCTCCTCCGCCTTTCTCTCCCCCTCTTCCCTTATCCTCCTCCTCCTCCTCCTTTTCTCCTCCTCCTCCTTTTCTCCTCCTCCTCCTTTTCTCCTCCTCCTCCTCTTCTCCTCCTCCTCCTCCTCCTCCTCTTCTCCTCCTCCTCCTCCTCCTCCTCCTCCTCCTCTTCTCCTCCTCCTCCTCTTCTCCTTCTCTTCCCTTCTCCTCCTCTTCTCCTCCTCCTCCTCTTCTCCTCCTCCTCCTCTTCTCCTCCTCCTCCTCCTCTTCTCCTCCTCTTCCTCCTCCTCTTCTCCTCCTCCTCCTCTTCTCCTCCTCCTCCTCCTCTCTCCTCCTCTCTCCTCCTCCTCTTCCTCTTCCTCTCTCCTCTTCCTCTCTCCTCTTCCTCCTCTTCCTCTCTCCTCTTCCTCTCTCCTCTTCCTCCTCTTCCTCTCTCCTCTTCCTCCTCTTCCTCTTCCTCTCTCCTCTTCCTCTCTCCTCTTCCTCCTCTTCCTCTCTCCTCTTCCTCCTCTTCCTCTCTCCTCTTCCTCCTCTTCCTCTCTCCTCTTCCTCCTCTTCCTCTCTCCTCTCTCCTCTTCCTCCTCTCTCCTCTCTTCCTCTCTCCTCTTCCTCTCTCCTCTTCCTCCTCTTCCTCTCTCCTCTTCCTCCTCTTCCTCTCTCCTCTTCCTCCTCTTCCTCCTCTTCCTCTCTCCTCTTCCTCCTCTTCCTCTCTCCTCTTCCTCCTCTTCCTCTCTCCTCTTCCTCTCTCCTCTTCCTCTCTCCTCTTCCTCTCTCCTCTTCCTCTCCTCCTCTTCCTCTCTCCTCTTCCTCCTCTTCCTCTCTCCTCTTCCTCCTCTTCCTCTCTCCTCTTCCTCCTCTTCCTCTCTCCTCTTCCTCCTCTTCCTCTCTCCTCTTCCTCCTCTTCCTCTCTCCTCTTCCTCCTCTTCCTCTCTCCTCTTCCTCCTCTTCCTCTCTCCTCTTCCTCCTCTTCCTCTCTCCTCTTCCTCCTCTTCCTCTCTCCTCTTCCTCCTCTTCCTCTCTCCTCTTCCTCTCTCCTTCTCTCTTCCTCTCTCCTCTTCCTCTCTCCTCTTCCTCTCTCCTCTTCCTCTCTCCTCTTCCTCTCTCCTCTTCCTCTCTCCTCTTCCTCTCTCCTCTTCCTCCTCTTCCTCTCTCCTCTTCCTCTCTCCTCTTCCTCTCTCCTCTTCCTCTCTCCTCTTCCTCCTCTTCCTCTCTCCTATTCCTCTCTCCTCTTCCTCCTCTTCCTCTCTCCTCTTCCTCTCTCCTCTTCCTCCTCTTCCTCTCTCCTCTTCCTCTCTCCTCTTCCTCCTCTTCCTCTTCCTCCTCTTCCTCTCTCCTCTTCCTCCTCTTCTCTCTCCTCTTCCTCCTCTTCCTCTCTCCTCTTCCTCCTCTTCCTCTCTCCTCTTCCTCCTCTTCCTCTCTCCTCTTCCTCTCTCCTCTTCTCCTCTTCCTCTCTCCTCTTCCTCCTCTTCCTCTCTCCTCTTCCTCCTCTTCCTCTCTCCTCTTCCTCCTCTTCCTCTCTCCTCTTCCTCCTCTTCCTTCTCCTCCTGTTCCTCCTCTTCCTTCTCCTTCTCTTCCTCCTCTTCCTTCTCCTCCTGTTCCTCCTCTTCCTTCTCCTCCTCTTCCTCCTCTTCCTTCTCCTCCTGTTCCTCCTCTTCCTTCTCCTCCTCTTCCTCCTCTTCCTTCTCCTCCTGTTCCTCCTCTTCCTTCTCCTCCTCTTCCTCCTCTTCCTTCTCCTCTTGTTCCTCCTCTTCCTTCTCCTCCTCTTCCTCCTCTTCCTTCTCCTCCTGTTCCTCCTCTTCCTTCTCCTCCTGTTCCTCCTCTTCCTTCTCCTCCTGTTCCTCCTCTTCCTTCTCCTCCTGTTCCTCCTCTTCCTTCTCCTCCTGTTCCTCCTCTTCCTTCTCCTCCTGTTCCTCCTCTTCCTTCTCCTCCTGTTCCTCTTCCTCTTCCTTCCTCCTCTTCCTTTTCTTCTCATTTCCGGGCATTTAGCATCATAATCTGGTATTCAGTTTCCTTGCAGTAATTTTATTATCAAAATATTTCGCTTGTAAATCCCCGTACAGCTCTTTGTCCAGTTATTCCTAGTACGACTACGTTGAGATTCCTTTTAAAAAACTTAACTTAACTTAACTTAACGATTTCCGGTCTATTGTGTTGGGAATTCCATGTCGATGATGAGAGATTTCTTTCGGATGATGTTGCTATGTGTGGGACTGTTTATTTATGGATATGTGGGAAGGTGTATCTATAGATATAAGGGATGGAGTATCTATAGGTATAGGGGATGGAGTATCTATAGATATATATGGGATGGTGTATCTATAGATATATATGGGATGGTGTATCTATAGATATATATGGGACGGAGTATCTATAGATATATATGGGACGGAGTATCTATAGATATATATGGGACGGAGTATCTATAGATATATATGGGACGGAGTATCTATAGATATATATGGGACGGAGTATCTATAGATACATATGGGACGGAGTATCTATAGATACATATGGGACGGAGTATCTATAGATACATATGGGACGGAGTATCTATAGATACATATGGGACGGAGTATCTATAGATACATATGGGACGGAGTATCTATAGATACATATGGGACGGAGTATCTATAGATACATATGGGACGGAGTATCTATAGATACATATGGGACGGAGTATCTATAGATACATATGGGACGGAGTATCTATAGATACATATGGGACGGAGTATCTATAGATACATATGGGACGGAGTATCTATAGATACATATGGGACGGAGTATCTATAGATACATATGGGACGGAGTATCTATAGATACATATGGGACGGAGTATCTATAGATACATATGGGACGGAGTATCTATAGATACATATGGGACGGAGTATCTATAGATACATATGGGACGGAGTATCTATAGATACATATGGGACGGAGTATCTATAGATACATATGGGACGGAGTATCTATAGATACATATGGGACGGAGTATCTATAGATACATATGGGACGGAGTATCTATAGATACATATGGGACGGAGTATCTATAGATACATATGGGACGGAGTATCTATAGATACATATGGGACGGAGTATCTATAGATACATATGGGACGGAGTATCTATAGATACATATGGGACGGAGTATCTATAGATACATATGGGACGGAGTATCTATAGATACATATGGGACGGAGTATCTATAGATACATATGGGACGGAGTATCTATAGATACATATGGGACGGAGTATCTATAGATACATATGGGACGGAGTATCTATAGATACATATGGGACGGAGTATCTATAGATACATATGGGACGGAGTATCTATAGATACATATGGGACGGAGTATCTATAGATACATATGGGACGGAGTATCTATAGATACATATGGGACGGAGTATCTATAGATACATATGGGACGGAGTATCTATAGATACATATGGGACGGAGTATCTATAGATACATATGGGACGGAGTATCTATAGATACATATGGGACGGAGTATCTATAGATACATATGGGACGGAGTATCTATAGATACATATGGGACGGAGTATCTATAGATACATATGGGACGGAGTATCTATAGATACATATGGGACGGAGTATCTATAGATACATATGGGACGGAGTATCTATAGATACATATGGGACGGAGTATCTATAGATACATATGGGACGGAGTATCTATAGATACATATGGGACGGAGTATCTATAGATACATATGGGACGGAGTATCTATAGATACATATGGGACGGAGTATCTATAGATACATATGGGACGGAGTATCTATAGATACATATGGGACGGAGTATCTATAGATACATATGGGACGGAGTATCTATAGATACATATGGGACGGAGTATCTATAGATACATATGGGACGGAGTATCTATAGATACATATGGGACGGAGTATCTATAGATACATATGGGACGGAGTATCTATAGATACATATGGGACGGAGTATCTATAGATACATATGGGACGGAGTATCTATAGATACATATGGGACGGAGTATCTATAGATACATATGGGACGGAGTATCTATAGATACATATGGGACGGAGTATCTATAGATACATATGGGACGGAGTATCTATAGATACATATGGGACGGAGTATCTATAGATACATATGGGACGGAGTATCTATAGATACATATGGGACGGAGTATCTATAGATACATATGGGACGGAGTATCTATAGATACATATGGGACGGAGTATCTATAGATACATATGGGACGGAGTATCTATAGATACATATGGGACGGAGTATCTATAGATACATATGGGACGGAGTATCTATAGATACATATGGGACGGAGTATCTATAGATACATATGGGACGGAGTATCTATAGATACATATGGGACGGAGTATCTATAGATACATATGGGACGGAGTATCTATAGATACATATGGGACGGAGTATCTATAGATACATATGGGACGGAGTATCTATAGATACATATGGGACGGAGTATCTATAGATACATATGGGACGGAGTATCTATAGATACATATGGGACGGAGTATCTATAGATACATATGGGACGGAGTATCTATAGATACATATGGGACGGAGTATCTATAGATACATATGGGACGGAGTATTTATAAAAAAAAAAAAGACTTGTTCCTCGTTTACCTTTACTGTGTTGCTAGAACTCTCCTTCCCACAGCCGTATTTTCGAGCTGTGAATGTAACTCGCCCTTAATTCCAGGCCCAGCAAAAGGGTGCTTCGGCCACCATCTACGGCCTCATTATCGGGACCAACTGTCTGACAGCATTCCTCATCACGCCCGTTGTTGGGAAAAATGTAAGGCAGTTTCTTTGACTTGTGTAGGGTCTCTTAAAGTTGTGCTTGAAAAAATATTAGAAAATGAAATTTAAATAGGTTATAATCATCATGATGGTTTCAAGTTTGTAGAGATTTTGTTTTGGAGAAGAGTTAGTGTTGTGTTATCTTATTTAATGTTTCGTTGGTATAGTTATAATATTAACTCTTAGGCTCCAGAGATTTTGCTGCGTAATTACAGCCTATTCCATAATTTGTGATGGTTAACGTTTGCGTTCCACTTGCCACTAGCATTTTGGAAATAAAAGTTCTTAGCGTTGGCACAATAGCATTATTACAGGGGTTGCTTTTCTTTAGAATAATTACTCGCCTCACAAACAACGGTGCTCGTTACATTCTACATAAATAAAATTGTTTTTATTTAGACAGTCTCTATTGATTCCATCCCCGATTGCCCGTAATAGCTTCGAATATGATGGCTAAAATCTTCTTGTAATTATAGGATGTTTACTAATGGGTACAACTAGATACTGCTTTCCTAAATTTCTGTTACGAAACCATTCTTATAATAAACTGGGAAAGAGGAAAATCATTATTTCCGTATGTCAACAACAACGTAGTTATACACTCCAAGGGCTTTGTTTCCTAATATCTTTATGTACTGGGGTGCGATTACCTGTTGAACATACCCCATTATGGAAGGAATATAATGGGTGGCTCAGATAATCTGCCCTTTATTGACTTCTGTTGTTTGGGCATTTGTAAATTCATTGACAAGTTTAGACTGAACTAGCAACTATGTACCTGCATACTCATGAGACCATTAATGTGTCTGTATGTTTTTTGGTTTTTTTTTTTTTGTTCTGTATGAAATACTTTAAATCGACTTGTTGCTCAGTTTGTATTGCATTGACCAGGATATTCACTTGATTTTTCTTCAGCTTAAGACCATTGGTGTTCACTTTGCCTTCACAGCCGGCTTGTTCTGTAGTGGAGGGTGTTGTATGTTGACAGGGTAAGTCGCATGTATTTAGTCTGTCCACGATATAACATCTTTAGATACAAGTAAGCATATTAAAAAAAAAAAAAAAAATTTTTAATCCAGGGTAATAATTGTTTTATTTCTGGTCCAGACTTCTGGAGTTCTTTCCAGGAGGCCCTGCCTTCGTGATCATAGCTGTGTTCATCAGAATGGTGCATGCCACGGCAAACTCCGGTATTTTAACCAGCTCCTTTGCCTTCATTGCTGCGGAGTTTCCCGAGTCGGTTGCCAAAATGTTTGTAAGTCTGACTCTCGTTTCTCAGTTTAAGAAGAAAAAGTACTGTTTATTAACTATGAGAATGTATTAAGCGTCGTCTCCGAGTGCATGTTGCATGGAAGAGACTTCCCTCGCTCCTTCATGATTTGCAAATTTCCCCAAGGCTCTGACCAGGACCACCATGAACTTGGCCCAGATGTTTGGGCCGGTGGTGGGAGGGGCACTGTACGAGGTGGGCGGGTTCAAGATGCCCTTCCTCGTGATGGGCAGCCTGCAGATGGCCATGACGATATTTGCCTCCTTCCTGTTACCCCATTCCTCAAGTGAGTACCGGTAGCATTTGGAATCGGTGACCGCCTGTTTTGGTAGGAGTAATTGCCGCTTTCCATTTTCTTAAGAGACGTTTGTTTACCATCGACACCTGACTGTTGGCTACTATGCAGGTTTAGCAATATTTCATGGCGTCTTATGGAAAATTTCCTCCAGTACTTGCATTTCTCACACTATGGAGATGCAGTATTTAATTCAATTTATCCTTTCGTTATAGATGAACCCATTCAATTATGTATAAATGTACAATGCTATCGAAGTGTAATATATTACAATGTATCCTACTTTACCTTTAAATTTTGAAAGAGGAGTCAGAGACGCCGGAAAATGAGACGGGGAAGAAGAAAGAGGTTCAGATCTGGAGGGTCTTCACCATCCCGGGCGTGTGGGTCTCCTTCCTCCCTTCCTTGCTCCCTCCTCCTCCTCCTTCTTCTTCTTCCTCTTGCTCCCTCCTCCTCCTCCTCCTCCTCTTCTTCTTCTTCCTCTTGCTCCCTCCTCCTCCTCCTTCTTCTTCTTCCTCTTGCTCCCTCCTCCTCCTCCTTCTTCTTCTTCTTCCTCTTGCTCCCTCCTCCTCCTCCTCCTTCTTCTTCTTCCTCTTGCTCCCTCCTCCTCCTCCTTCTTCTTCTTCCTCTTGCTCCCTCCTCCTCCTCCTTCTTCTTCTTCCTCTTGCTCCCTCCTCCTCCTCCTTCTTCTTCTTCTTCCTCTTGCTCCCTCCTCCTCCTCCTTCTTCTTCTTCTTCCTCTTGCTCCCTCCTCCTCCTCCTCCTTCTTCTTCTTCTTCTTCTTCCTCTTGCTCCCTCCTCCTCCTCCTTCTTCCTCTTGCTCCCTCCTCCTCCTCCTCCTTCTTCTTCTTCTTCCTCTTGCTCCCTCCTCCTCCTCCTTCTTCTTCCTCTTGCTCCCTCCTCCTCCTCCTTCTTCTTCCTCTTGCTCCCTCCTCCTCCTCCTCCTTCTTCTTCTTCCTCTTGCTCCCTCCTCCTCCTCCTTCTTCTTCCTCTTGCTCCCTCCTCCTCCTCCTCCTTCTTCTTCTTCCTCTTGCTCCCTCCTCCTCCTCCTCCTCCTTCTTCTTCTTCTTCCTCTTGCTCCCTCCTCCTCCTCCTTCTTCCTCTTGCTCCCTCCTCCTCCTCCTTCTTCTTCCTCTTGCTCCCTCGTCCTTCTTCCTCTTGCTCCCTCCTCCTCCTTCTTCTTCCTCTTGCTCCCTCCTCCTCCTCCTCCTCCTCCTCCTTCTTCTTCCTCTTTCCCTTCCTCCTCCTCCTATCCTCCTTCTTCTTCCTCTTGCTCCCTCCTCCTCCTCCTCCTCCTTCTTCTTCCTCTTGCTCCCTCCTCCTCCTCCTCCTCCTTCTTCTTCCTCTTGCTCCCTCCTCCTCCTCCTCCTCCTTCTTCTTCCTCTTGCTCCCTCCTCCTCCTCCTCCTTCTTCTTCTTCCTCTTGCTCCCTCCTCCTCCTCCTCCTCCTTCTTCTTCCTCTTGCTCCCTCCTCCTCCTCCTCCTCCTTCTTCTTCCTCTTGCTCCCTCCTCCTCCTCCTCCTCCTTCTTCTTCCTCTTGCTCCCTCCTCCTCCTCCTCCTCCTTCTTCTTCTTCCTCTTGCTCCCTCCTCCTCCTCCTCCTCCTTCTTCTTCTTCCTCTTGCTCCCTCCTCCTCCTCCTCCTCCTTCTTCCTCTTGCTCCCTCCTCCTCCTCCTTCTTCTTCTTCCTCTTGCTCCCTCCTCCTCCTCCTCCTCCTTCTTCCTCTTGCTCCCTCCTCCTCCTCCTTCTTCTTCTTCTTCCTCTTGCTCCCTCCTCCTCCTCCTTCTTCTTCTTCTTCCTCTTGCTCCCTCCTCCTCCTCCTTCTTCTTCTTCTTCCTCTTGCTCCCTCCTTCTTCTTCTTCTTCCTCTTGCTCCCTCCTCCTCCTCCTCCTTCTTCTTCCTCTTGCTCCCTCCTCCTCCTCCTCCTTCTTCTTCCTCTTGCTCCCTCCTCCTCCTCCTCCTCCTTCTTCTTCCTCTTGCTCCCTCCTCCTCCTCCTCCTTCTTCTTCTTCCTCTTGCTCCCTCCTCCTCCTCCTCCTTCTTCTTCTTCCTCTTGCTCCCTCCTCCTCCTCCTCCTCCTCCTCCTCCTCCTCCTCCTCCTCCTCCTCCTCCTCCTCCTCCTCCCTCCTCCCTCCCTTCCTTCCTCCCTTCCTTCCTCCCTCCCTCCCTCCTTCCCTCCCTCCTTCCTCCCTCCCTCCCTCCTTCCCTCCCTCCTTCCTCCCTCCTTCCTCCCTCCCTCCCTCCCTCCCTCCCTCCCTCCCTCCCTCCTTCCTTCCTCCCTCCTTCCTCCCTCCCTCCCTCCCTCCCTCCCTCCCTCCTTCCTCTCTCCTCCTTCTTCCTCTTGCTTCCGCCTCTTCCTCCCTCCTCTTCCTCCTCCTCCCCCTCACTCCCTCTTCCTCCTCCTCCCCCTCACTCCCTCTTCCTCCTCCTCCCCCTCCCACTCCCCCTCTCTTCCTCCTCCTGCCTCCCTCTTCCTCCTCCTGCCTCCCTCTTCCTCCTCCTGCCTCCCTCTTCCTCCTCCTGCCTCCCTCTTCCTCCTCCTGCCTCCCTCTTCCTCCTCCTGCCTCCCTCTTCCTCCTCCTGCCTCCCTCTTCCTCCTCCTGCCTCCCTCTTCCTCCTCCTGCCTCCCTCTTCCTCCTCCTGCCTCCCTCTTCCTCCTCCTGCCTCCCTCTTCCTCCTCCTGCCTCCCTCTTCCTCCTCCTGCCTCCCTCTTCCTCCTCCTGCCTCCCTCTTCCTCCTCCTGCCTCCCTCTTCCTCCTCCTGCCTCCCTCTTCCTCCTCCTGCCTCCCTCTTCCTCCTCCTGCCTCCCTCTACCCCCCTCTTCCTTGCTTATGAAGAGCTCAGAAAACTATCCTTATAAAGTATTATACAAAATGCACAAAACCCATTCCCTGTGGTTTCAGCGAGGGAGGGTTTCCTGACGAGGCTGACACCCATGGCTGCGTGGCTGGGCTGTGGTCCTCCCTGTCCGGTGCGGGGAGGTTCATTTCTCGCGGGGGGTCGGGGGTCCTCATAGACACGATTGGCTTCAGGAAGTCCACCGTCATTGTTGTTTTTCTTCACGGATTCATCGTGAGTACAGCTGCGTTGTGTGGTGGTCTTGTTTAAGCTGTGTTCCGGTAGTGTTGATTTTCAGGTTTGTTCATTTGCAGTGTTTATATACATCGATTCTTCTTTTTTTCTCTCTCTCAAATGGCTTTTTTTACTTTATCTTAACTAATTGTCAGATTGTGATGACGATGCTGCATCTGATGTTCTGCGGCAAGAGACGAATTTCCTACTTGCATCACTACAACACCGAGAGCGAGCCGAGCGAGTCCGGCCGCGGGGGAGTCATCACCGCGGGGGCGAACAGGATTGGGACCATCTTCACTACCTCGCCCTCGGAGCCCGTCACCACCAAAGCTGTGAGTAATTTAACAAGGGATCATCACACCAGGCTTCATATTTTCATGTCTGAGATTTTGGAGACACGGAATATTCGGTCCTGGATTTTTGCGCTTCTTTCCTCGGTGTCCAGAAGGGTGGGTCCGAAGGCGCTTCTCTGGACTCGTTTTCCGGATTTCGGGATTTCGGCGAGACATTGTAAACAATGCTGTTTATATATATATATATATATATATATATATATATATATATATATATATATATATATATATATATATATATATATATATATATATAATTTTTTTTTTTTTTTTTTTTTTTTTTTTGGTGGGGGGGGGTCAAATAACCAGGGCCTCTATACAGTATCAAATAGTGCAATATGGTGTATCTCCTTTAACGTCACGGTAGTTATCTTTTGGGTATACTATTCCCAATAAAGAGACAATGAACTGCCTTTTATAACGAAAATACCATTGCATGTGTGCACAAGAGTGTCTTTCGGTGTGTTGAACACGGTTTCTCGTGGAATGAAATTTATTCTTTTTCTATTTTCAGATTACCATCGAAATCCCAGGTTACAGAGAAGATTTTGAGGATTCTTTATTTTGTGGTTCAGCTCCAATATCGACGTCCATGAGGTAAAGCAAATGCGACCCCAAGGTTATGCTGACTGAAGCGAGTGTCAACATTTTTGAATCCTAAGCATAGAATAGGATTTGACTGCATTAGTTCATAACTCCTGTAGCAGTAGTCTCGGTCTTTTCATCACCGAAGACCCCTACTGATATATTTTAATTTTCCTCTGATACCCAGCTATTGAATGGTCTCTAATCAACGAGGAGTAACTGAGTATACCATTAAATAAATAGCAGTACTTAAAAATGGAAATCTGATGGTAATCTTTGACAGCTTTATCTTGAACAATCATACATTTAACTCTGAAGCCTAAATTGGTAGGATGCTGTGCAATGGCAAAGTTTAAAGGCAGCTTCTTCAGGCCTTGATTTTTAATTTTTATATGGCCAGATTAGTACATTTATCACTTTCAAACAGAAGTAAATTAACCTAATCGCCCCATATGGTAAGAATACATGCCATGCCCCTACTGTAATACAAGTTTATTTATTGTATTTACACATAGATGGCTCTGCAAGTGTTTAGTCACCAAGGAGTCGATTATTAGTCCTACCTATCTCACCGATTTACCCTTTTCCTCGACTTTTGGAAAGGGTCTTTTGCATTATTTGTCTTAAATGTTATTGAGATTTTAATAACAATTAAATAATCATAACATCAATAATGATGACAACAGTATCGATATCAACTGTATTAAAAAGAAAAACACATTTTCCCACCAATTCAAGGAAATCAGGATCGGTCAATAGGGCTACCGATAGACTCCTAGCCGACTGAGCACATGTGAAGCCATTTGTATGTAACATTCACAAAAATACAGGGAACAGAACAAAAATCCGGGGAGGTTTGGTTAAGTTAATCTAAATGGTAAACAATTAAATTTTAAATTTTGTATTCGCAGGTATGGACGAGGCAGGTCTCGGCGTTGTACAGCAACAATGGAGTCTGTATAACATGAAGTAGAATCATTAATGGTGAGCAAATGTGTATATAAAACGATGAATGAATGTAATATAAAACCAGCGTGTCAGAAAATCCATATGCATTAGTTCATGGCTTTAGCTATGTATACACAATGCAAAGTAGAAAAAATGAGATTTATTGTAGACCAGTTTCCTAAGCTCTAAGACAAAAATAGAAAACCTGATTATGATCACATTATTTTTTTTTCCATTTAATAGACGGAATAAAGTGATTGAGTTCTGCCTTTTGTTTCACGCATCTCATAATCAAAGTTTCTTGTGGGTTTAATGCATTTGTAATTTTAATTTCAATAGCTCAGCCTTTGTAGCAATGTTATTACTGTGCATAACAGGTTTTCGAACTAGGGTGAAATTTAAAATGTCTCTATATCTTAAAGGTAGCCTTTAGTAC